CCATTGGAGGACCCCTGGGAGCCACCAGACAGGATGCTGCACATCAGCTCTTGCCTGGGCTGCTGCAAGCCATAAACACCTGCAGTTCAGCAAGCTGGGGTAGCCCCTGGGCTCCCTCAGGGGTCCCAGCCAGGCCTCTAGAGCCAGGAACAAAGGCTTCTTTAAAGAGGAAAGGAGCAGTTGCCCGTGCCCAGGATGACCTGAAACTGCTGGGCCGTCATGGCGCCCCCTCTGTGCATTCCCATACTTGCCATGCAGCATTCCTTCCGCAGGAAATCTTCCAGGGGTTCCCTCACCTCTATTGGGAAGGTTGTTTCTTTTCCCAGATGGAGAGAAACCATCCATGACTTCCAGGTAACCTACCCGAAGAAGCAAACGTACACATACAATCTGGCATATCTGGCATAGGTGTTGTCCACCAGGGAGGTCAGGGATAAATATCTCTCAAAGCAAGTCCAGAAATAGGTGAGGGGAACAAGGCATTCATGTTAAAACAAAAAACAAAAAACAAAAAACCTCAGCCCTGGCCCATGCGACTCAGTTGGTTGGGCGTCATGCCGTTCACCAAAAGGTTACCAGTTTGATTCCCATCAGGGCACATGCCCAGGTTGTGGGCTCAATTCCCATTAGGGGGTGTGCAGGAGACAGCCAATGGATGTTTTTCTCTCTCCCTCTCTCTTCCTCTCTCTCTAAAATCAATAAAAATATTTTTTGTTTTAAAAATGGTACACCTGTATAAGGGCACTTACCATGAAAGGAGCTTGTGGGACTGAAAACTGCTCTGTGGGAGTCAGTGAGTGAGTGGTGAGTGAATTTAAAGGCCTAAGACATTAGTGTGCACTACTATAGACTTCTTTTTTTATCCTCACCCGAGGACATTTTTCCACTTTTTGTCCAGATAGAGTGGGAGGGAGAGAGAGGAAGAGAGAGAGAGAGAAACATTGACGTGAAAGGGACACATCGAGTGGCTGCCTCCCGCATGACCCAACCGCACGACCTCGGTTGCGGGACAAACCACAACCGAGGTACATGCCCTTAGCAGGAACTGAACCCAGGTCTCTCTGGACGGCAGGCTGACGCTCCAACTGCTGAGCCAAACTGACCAGGGCACTACTATAGACTTTTAAAACTCTGTACACTTGGGCTACACTACATTTAAAAAATAACATGAGCCCTGGCCGGTTTGGCTCAGCGGTTAGAGCGTTGGCCTGCGGTCCCGAGAGACCCGGGTTCGGTTCCCGCTAAGGGCATGTACCTCGGTTGCAGTGTGTCCCCGGCCCTGGTTGGTCGTGCGGGTGGCAGCCACTCGATGTGTCCCTTTCATATCGATGTTTCTCTCTCTCTTCCTCTCTCCCCCTCCCACTCTACCTGAACAAAAAATAGAAAAATATCCTCAGGTGAGGATAAAAAAAAAAAAAAAAAAAGTAAAAAATAACATGAGATTAAATAAATCACAAGAGAAAATTATACAATCAAGGCACATGGTAAACACGAGATGTGGGAGGCTGCTGCCTGTGTAACATGGCATACTGTTTTGGAGTAAACTGTTTTTTTTAATAAGTAGGAACAGTATACTCTAAAATAAGGATAAAAATCATAGCATAGTAAATACATAAACTACTAACACAGCTGTTTCTGAGCATTATCAAGTATTATGTGCTGCACACAACTGTATTGCTATCCTTTTATATGACTGGCAGTGCAGGTTTGTTCAGCATCGGGAGTACCACATGAGTTATGTGCTGTGCTACGATGTTGTGACAACTATGACATTACCAGGCGATAGGGATTTGTCAGCTCCATTATAATCTTACCACTGTACGTGTGGTCCATTATTGACTGAAATGTTAGGCTGTGCATGACTGCAGTCCCATTAACCAGTTCTTTGTAACTTAGCAAAGTTATTTCAGCCTGCCTTTGCCAACTAGATGCACTGCTATTCCCCAAATTCTTCTTTGAACTGGCTCACGCACCCCTTCTGTACTCCCAAGCTGATTAACTCTGAAAGGTGGTGTTTTTAGCTTTCTAGAAATCACTTTGACCTCAAGCCTACACCCCCAACTATTTTCCTTCTCTCAAATCTTATTCCTATTGTGTCCTCATATTAAATTTATGACACAGGTATTATCATCTCAAGTATGTTAGAGACAAACCATTTAATGTGCCAAAGAACAACAGACCGGTAAGTGAATGAGGTCTTACTCAAGGTCTCATTGTTTCAAATCACTGGTTCCTTTTTTTTTTCCCTTCCCTACTGTAAAATGAGTTAATCTTGATGGCAAATGACACCTTATTATTCTTTCCATCATTTGTTCATGATGGAAACATCCAGATAGAGTGGGAGGGAGAGAGAGGAAGAGAGAGAGAGAGAGAAACATCGACGTGAAAGGGACACATCGAGTGGCTGCCTCCTGCACGACCCAACCAGGGCCGGGGACAAACCGCAACCAAGTCTTAAATGCCATCTCTTCTCCAGCTTACTATTTAAAGCAATGATATAGGAAATGTTACTCTTTAAAAACAGAAATTTCTAAATTTTCATTTGGACAGATATGCAGTCTCATGATACTTTTTGCTTGCTCTGGATTACATCCAGCTAAATTCCACCACTCACTGTTTGGAGTGGAAGAAACCAGGTGAGGAGAGTGGAGGCTGTCACCTTTGCACCAAGCTGGGAGCCCTGGGCAGGCCAGGTCCCACCTCTGTGCTTCTCTTCCAGCAAAGGAACACAGCTTCACAAACAACAGAAGGCTCCATAAGTGAAACATGTGCAGTAGATTCCCACTGGAAACAAATGTGAATTTTTGACCAAGCAACCTCCAACACGCCCCCAAGGAGACCACTTAGAGAGCCCAGAGGCCCTGAGCCCACCAGGCCTCCACTTTGCAAAGCTGGATAAAGACAAGGCTGGCTGTGTTTGAGATGTACCAAGATGTAAAAATTCTATTCACCAGAACTCCTCTCAAGAGAATTCCATGTGGTAGAAGGAATATTTGATAGAAATGCTCAGTGGGTGTGAGGTTCCCCTTGGGCTTCCTGCAGGGCCACTGGTTGGTTGCTAAACAAACTTCTTTCTGAGAGTTTGTTCCAAGACTAAAGCTGAACTGCATCCTCTTCCAACTGGCACCGAGCCTCTTCTGAATGAACGTGGAGCAAATATTTAAAGACTGTCAGCTTAAAAAGGAACCAACCTATTAACTGCACTTGGCACCCACATGACTCGGTCTGGCTTCATTTCAACCCTCTTCCCTCTCCAAGTGTAGAGATCATGATTTAACAACTGAAAGTGGCCCTGGCCAGTTTGGCTCAGCGGTTAGAGCATCGGCCTGCGGTCCGGAGAGACCCGGGTTCGGTTCCCGCTAAGGGCACGTACTTCGGTTGCAGTTTGTCCCCGGCCCTGGTTGGTCGTGCGGGTAGCAGCCACTCGATGTGTCCCTTCACGTCGATGTTTCTCTCTCTCTCCCTTCCTCTCTCTCCCTCCCACTCTATCTGTACAAAAATGGAAAAATATCCTCAGGTGAGGATAAAAAAATAAAAACTGAAAGTGTGTACCCTGGCTGGTTTGGCTCAGCAGTTGGAGCGTCGGCCCGTGGACCAAAGAGTACCAGGTTCAGTTCCCACTAAGGGAACGTCCCTCAGTTGCAGTTTGTCCCAAGCCTCGGTTGGGGTTGTGTGGGTGGCAACCAGTCGATGTGTCTCTCTCACATCGATGTTTCTCTCTCTCTCTTCCTCCCTCTCTCTCCTGCTCTATCTGAAGATAAATGTCCTCGGGTGAGGATTAAAAAAAAAAAGTAAAAGTGTGCACAGCCACTCTCATCACTTTTTTTCTAACAGCTCCAAGAAGATGTCATATTATCATTTTAAAGACAAAAAAAAACTGAGGTGAAGAGAGGTAAGGTGCCCCCTTACTGGAAAGTAGGTCTCCATCCCACAGCATTGATGAGCTATGGGTAAGACTTAACAATATGGTCTATAACCATGGTTCTCAACATTGGCTGTGCTTGGAAGCATGTGAGACTCTGGAAAACACTTAGGTCTGTGCCTGGTACCCAAAAAGATTTCACTGGTCTGGTGTGGGGCCCAGAAACCAGTTTTTAAACTCCCCAGATGATTCTGATGTGTAGCCAGGGTGGCAAACTACTGATAGGTAATACTGTGACTATGGGGAAATGCTGGGCAGCAAAGATTGTCCCCTCCTCTCCTCATTAAGTAAATATTTGAGCAAGTCCTATATTTCAGGAATAAGGCATGCAGGTTTCTGCATGCAAGGAGGGAGAGACACTCCAGTGAAAGTAACATACAGTGCTAGATGCCTGAGTGCCTTGCACAGCCTGGGAGGCAGCAGTCTGGATGAGGAAGTGGTGCCTTGGCTCTTTTAAACAGGACCTGAGGCCTTCCTTCTCTGGGGACAGCAGGAAGGGTGCATAGAAAATCAGATAGGATTTCTTGCCCACTGGAGCTCCAATGCCAGGGTGCAAGTCCACCATGGATATTTCCAGGGTGGTTACAAGTTGGCTGTTCGTAACTCAGATGTTTGATGGTTTGAAATTCCCAAAGACCCTAACTCATTGCCAAGAAGTCGTAAAACCTTGAACTTTCAACCTGAACTTATTTTCCCAAATTTTGGTCAAAGTTCTTATAATGGCGTCTCACATTTATTAAGTACATTCTGTGTATCAGGTACTTTACTAAGTGCTCCGAGTGCTTTATGCTGTCTTAGGCCTTAACAACCATAACTATGGTAGGTCCTACAAGCCTACCCCATTTTGCATATGAGGATAATAGCTCACCCACGTTTACCTTCACCCTCCCCACCCCACCCTAAGCAATGGAGGCAGGTTCAAAGGTAGGTTTGTCTGACTTCACAGCCCAAGCCCTTAACCACGGTGCTTGCTATTTCTAGCATGAGAGGAAGTGTGTGCCTGTCAAGCATTAAAGCTGTAACATTCAAGAAAGCATGTCCTTAGCTTTGTCAGTGCCTTACCTCAGTTTTGGTGATGACCAGGTGGTAGAAGTCCTTGCTTGGAGAGGGAGCCTAGCTTCCCATCTCATACAGAATGTTGGGTAGGAGAGAAGTCATGGGCTCCTCCTGCAGCTCCAGTATCCAGCAACCACAAACAGTATCCAAGGCCTAGCCTGTTTCTATGCTCACTGTTCCTGTTTCTTTTCACCAGCAAGAGCAGGTGAGCTTCACTCTTGGGGCAGCCTGCTGAAGCAAAGTGCCCTCTGCCACCCCTTTAACAGGAACAAACAAAACTGTTAGGAAGAGATTTGGCTTTGTACTGTCACTACACATTGGTCATGCCTAAAGGAATTAATCTGGCCAGCATCGAGTTCCTGGTAACCTTTCACTTGCATGTGTGAAAAGCCCACAAGCTTGTGTATTCAACTAGTATTTGTTGAGAGCCTACAATGTGCCAGGCACTGGGGAGTCAGTAGCACCTGCCAGTTCCCACCTACCTCACCCTGGCCAGTTGTGTGAACCTTAGGTGGTCATTTAGCAGAGTCAGTTCTGCATGGCAAAAGAGAAAGAGCCCCATTCTCTCCAGCAAAGGCTCTGCTCTTTCCTACAAGGTGGGCTCATGAGTGGTCCTCAGGCCATGGATGGTCATCCAGTTCTCTTACTGAAGTAGAAAGCCTCTGCCTTACCCACTAGATGAGACACTGTGCTATTTTCTATATGCCTTATACCATACAGAGCATATAGCATGTTTGCCTATTATTTTGTTCCACATTTCCTTTTTTTAATAACCTCACCCAAGGAACTTTTCATTCATTTTGAGAGAAAGAAACAATGTGAGAGAGAAACATTGATTGGTTGACTCCCAAAAGTAACCCAACCAACGCCAGAGACTGAACCCTCAAATCTGTAACCTAGGTATGTATCCTGACCAGAAATCAAACTCATGACCTTTCAGAGTATGAGACAGCACTCCTACTCACTGAGCCACACCAGCCAAGGCTGTTCCTCATTTCTTGCATTTGTTATTTTGTGTTTAGTTGATTTTGTAGTGAAATGTTTAAATTCCTTCATTTCCTTTCGAGTATATTCTATAGCAATTTTCTTTGTGGTTACCATAAAAATTAACATTCTAAAGTTTTAATATTCTAATCTGTATTTATAGCAGCTTAACTTCAGTAACATAAAAATTCTGCTTCTTTACAGCTCCATCTTCCCCTTTAGATTTCTGATGTCGTAAAATTACATCTTTATACATTGTGTACCCAAAACCATAAATTAACACTTTTTGTAATGCACTAGTCTCCTAAATTACATAGAAAACAAGATTTGGGGTTACATAGCAAAATCATAATAATGCTAGTTTTACATTAATAACTTTTTTTTAAATGTATTAGTCATGTAGAAAACAAAAAGCATAAACTATTGTTACAATATTAGTTATTACATTTACCTGTACATTTACCTTAGTTAAGATATTTATTTCTCCATAGGGCTTTGAGTACCATCTAGTGTACTTTCTTCTTCTTTTTTTAAAATCCTCTTTTTTTTTTATTTTTTTATCCTCACCCGAAGACATTTTTCCATTTTCTGTTCAGGTAGAGTGGGAGGGAGAGAGGAACAGAGAGAGAGAGAGAAACATCGACGTGAAAGGATCACATCGAGTGGCTGCCACCCGCACGACCGACCAGGGCCGGGGACAAACTGCAACCGAGGTACGTGCCCTTAGCGGGAACCGAACCCAGGTCTCTCTGGACCGCAGGCCGACGCTCTAACCGCTGAGCCAAACTGACTAGGGCAAAATCCTCACTCGAGGATACTTTTCTATCTATCTTCAGACAGAGTAGGATGGAGAGAAAGGGAAAGAAAGGGAGAGAGAAACATTGAAGTGAGAGGGACACATTGACTGGTTGCCTCCCACAGGACCCCAACCAGGGCCAGGGACGAACCGCAACCAAGGTATGTGCACTTGACCGGAATCGAACCCAAGACTCATTGGTCCTTGGGCCAACGCTCTATCACTGAGCCAAAGTCCGTCTAGTGTACTTTCATTTCACCTGGCAGGATACCCTTGAGCATTTCTTGCTGGCCACGTCTAGTGGTCACAAATTCCCTCAGCTTTTGTGTGGGAATGTCTGGATTTCTCCCTCACTTTTTTTTTTTTTATCCTCACCCGAGGGCATTTTTTCCATTTTTTGTTCAGATAGAGTGAGAAGGAGAGGAAGAGAGAGAGAGAGAAACATTGACGTGAAAGGGACAAACTGGGCGGCCTCCCGCACGACCCAACCAGGACCGAGGACAAACTGCAACTGAGGTACGTGCCCTTAGCGGGAACTCCCTCACTTTTGAAGAACAGTTTTGCTGGATACAGGATTCTTGGTTGACATTTTCCTGTTAGTACTTTGAATACATCAACCCAGTATCTTCTGGCCTCCATTTTCTGGTAAAAAAAATCTGCAAATATTCTTATTGAGGATCCCTTGTATGTAACGACTGTCTTCTCTTTTACTGTTCTCAAGGTTCACTGTTTGTCTTTGGCTATTGAAAGTTTGATTAAAACATGTCTCAGTGTGGCTCTCTGAGTTAATCTTACTTGGAGTTTACTTTTGGATGTTTATATTTATGTTTTTAATCATTTTTGGAAGTTTTCAGCCATTATTTCTTCAAATATTCTCTCTGCCCCTTTCTCTCTTCTTTCTGGAATTCCCACAACATATTTTAGTCTACTTTATGGTGTCCCAAATATCCCTTAGGCTCTGCTCACTTATTTTCAATCACTTTTCATTCTGTTCCTTAGTCTTAATAATTTCCATTAACTGTCCTGAAAGTCACTTCAACGGCGGGGGGGAAGGGGAGGGGACGGGGAACTTGCAACAATGGAAGGAGGTGCAATAAGAATGGCTGCCCACCTCTTTGCAACTCTGTGATCAAAAGCAGCAATTGGCAGTCAGAGCACAGATTCCCCAATATTTGGAAGGCAGGGTCCTTTTTATCCACCCTAACTCCCACAAGTTGTGTGCAAGATGGCTGGGGGTTGGGGATAGGTAGCTGCTACTGTGTGGAGATCAGATTAACAAAAATTAACCATTTTTCTGTCCAAGCCTTCAACAGACTCCAAAGTTCCAAAACACATATAGCAGCCAAGTTCTGCCAATTAAATTTTTGTCTAGGTAGGGAAACAGATTCCTGGTGCTTCCTCCTCTACCATCTTCCCAGAATTCTCACTACCTGATTGTTTTTCATTTACTATTTTCCAACATAGAGCCAATTCTAGTGACTTCAAACTGGCCTTTCCCACCACAATAACCCTGACCCTACAGATTAGGAAACCAATGTGGGGATATTGCCAGCACCTGAGTATGTCTATCCTAATTATGCCTTCCAGGACTGGAGAAATAACCACAGAATGGTTTGGGGGCCTTCTGAACCCACTATGATATGGACCTAAGCTGAAACTCCCATTAACTACCTAACCTCCATAAGCCCCTACCCTAATTGGAGGGCCACAGTTATGCCTGGAGTCTCCTGATAGTCTCAGTTCAGAGCCAGTATCCAAGATTTCCTTTTCCCCAGAGCACACTCAGGTAAATGGCCATAGTCCCCTTTGGGAAAGGCTGGCCAAAGGATTAACAGTACAGAGTTTTTGGCAGTGTACTGGGGTCCTTGCTCAAGGGAACCTGACCTCCCTTTCATTCAAGTGGCTCTGGGTCTGTAAACTGGCTCAAGTCTGGGAACCAACTGAGGAGCCATGACTCTTTTTATAATTCAAGTTAGATTTTTTTTCATTTGACCTAGAACTCTTGCATTTATACAAATCAAGTAAGAATTTAGTAGGCTCCCCATCTATTTCATTAATCCTCCCTATGGCCTACAGCAAGCATTTGCAAGAGATTGGCTGGTATCTGCAAGCAAAAAGCTAAATGACATTATGCTCAAACCAACTAAGCAACTGATCACAATCAAAAGTATTGACACATTTTATTCCAATGGTATTTTCAGTTTTAGGATTGAATAGTGTCCAATCTGGGAAATAGATAAGGGGGGGAAACACAGAACTCTTGCACTAAAAAAATGAGGCCCAATTCAGTTCTATAGCCAACCCCCCACCCCCCACCCCTGCCTCCACTTCCCAAGCTCATAAAATAAAAGGCAGTTGGGCAAAAGTAGTCTTGGCAGGTGGAGAGAACTATGATAGGCTTAGTGAGTGTAGGACTTTAATAGGAAAAAGAGTAAACATTATAGGCCGGGAAGAAAAAGCAATGAGCAAGGTGGCATGGGAAGGTTACTTAAATAAGGTATCATTTGCCAATGCCTTAAGTAACTGGACCCTAAGGTGTCATTTTGCATTGAGAACACACCACAAAGTCAGTGTTGTAGACTTTATTTTGGTGTGTGAAGGCTGGGTTGGGAGGCCTATGAGCAGTCTCTACTGCACCGATCTGTGAGGGCCTAGCAATAGATACATTGCTGAAGAAATAAACCAGGCTTGCTTAGGCCAAGCAGAGAAATCAAAACCCCCCAATTTTCAAGCCCAGGTGTGGTAGGCAGAATGGCTCTCAAAGATGTCCAAGTCCCAAATGCCAGACCCTGTGAACATGATAGTTCATGGCAAAGGAGACTGAGGGTTGCTAATCTGCTGACTTTAAAATAGGGAGATCATCCTAGATTATCTGTGTGGCCCACTGTAATCACAACAGTCCTTAATGTGACAACAGAAGCAGTGTCAGAGAGACACTATGCACCAGTTCAAAGATGCAGGAAGGGAACCATAAGCCAAGAGTACAGGTTGCTTCTAGAAGCTGGAAAGGGAAGGGAATAGATTCTCTAGAGTTTTCAGGAAAGAATGTGGCCCTGCTAATGCCTTGATTTTAGCTCCGTGAGGTACAGAACTGTCAGAGAACAAATTTGTGTTGTTTTAAGCCACTAAGTTTCATGTAATTTGTTACAGCAATAGGAAACAAATACAATACATAGACAGAAACAGGTAGGTTGACAAAGGGAAACAATTTCAGGGATTTTTACCTTTAGGGTTGTAGTTCAACTTTAAAAGGTACCTCTCCCCCTGCCTTGGCCGGTCTGGCCCATGGACCAAAGTCTCGGGTTCGATTCTGGTCAAGGGCACATACCTTGGTTGCAGTTTGTCCCTGGCCCTGGTCAGGGTCGTGCAGGAGGCAGTTGGTCGATGTGTCTCTCTCACATCGATGCTTCTCTCTCTCTCCACCTCCCACTCTATATGAAGATATTTGAAAAAGTATCCTCGGGTAAGGACTAAAAAATTAAATAAAATAAAAGGCACCCCCTCCTTCATTTTGTGATGCTTACAGATCAGACTTGATAAGCATCCTTGTCTTCATCCAAGACAAAACTGTAGAATCCACACCAGTATCTAAAAAAGCAAAAACAAATAAACAACTGCTATAGGCACATCAAAACTCATGCAAATAAATGAAAATTAGTCCTCTAAAATATAATGGCATCAAGTCCATGAATGTTGAGTAAAATATAATTTTTATTCCTCTGCATATTAAGTAAAATCAGTGGTTTGAGAATTCATTAAAAATAGTTGTAATTACTTAGAAAAATAAGGGGAAAAAAATGTGTCAACGGCTGGGGTGGCTCAGCTGTTTGGGCATCACTCCATCAATAAGAAGTCACCAGTTTGATTCTTAGTCAGGGCATATGCCTAGATTACAGGCTCAATCCCCAGTAGGGGGGCATGCAGGAGGCAACCAATCCGATTTGTCTCTCTCACATAGCTGTTTCTCTCTCTCCCTCCCTGTCTTCCTTCGACTCTACCTATAAAATCAATAGAAAAATACCCTCACGGAAGGATTAACAACAAAAAAAGCACTCCTTGTTTGAAAAGATCCAAGTACAGCTCAATTAAAGCCAGTATCGCAATCCTGACTACACATCAGAACCCCAATGACACCAAATGTTCTACAATGTTTAAATGAAGCAGCCAGAGTTGAGTAACCACTGGAAGTAAAACAACCTTTAATAAGCTAATGTGCACTGATGAGATTTTCCACAAGGCACATCTAATATAGTGATTCCCTAACTTACCTGACCACAGAACTTTGAGAAAACAGAGCTGAGAAAATGTTGCTCCAAATATGAAAAGATTAGTATGGTGAAAACCAGTGGAAATAGGAAAGAATAACAAATTGGGTATCATACAATGAAAAAGAAAACACACACATGAAGATGTTGGTGATGAGAAAGCCTTTGTTTTTAATTTGGTTGATACACATTTGACAAAATATTTTAGAATAAAATAATCCATGAATGGGCGCAAGGTATTTACAGCAACAACTTTAAAGACAAAAAAAAATGACACATTCTCAAACAGAAATGTCTTTATAAAATTTTCTGTGGTGAATCTGGAAGACTTTCAGTTCCTACTCATTACCCTGATCTGAAGCTCCAACAGGTGGCACGTAAGGCCCGGGAGTAGGAGGTACATCTCTAACACATTTGGCAATTAAGAATCATCTATTGGTGTGAGCTCACAGGGAAGTGAAGGACCAGATCTCAGGATAAGATACAGAATGGAAGACTCCAACGCAAACAACTAAGGACAAGACCTAAATACTCACCTTTCTCAGTTTCCTGTAGGAGAAGGCTGCAAACAATTTTTTATACTTAACTCAATTTCTCCCCGTTTAGCAGATAATCAGCAACCCTGAGACTCCAATTTTCCAAGACACAGAAGTTAATAAACATCTAGAAACTGTCTGTTCAAGATTTATAAAAATGATCAAATAGAAAATTCAAAATAACTTTTATGATCTGAAAATACTTTTAAGAAAACAAAATTTCTCAAAATTTTCATGCCTAATTCTTAAACATTCCAACTAATAATTTCCATTGTCTTAAATGAGTTTCACAAAAAAGATACACTTTAACTAGATATCCTAAATTGAGTACAACTTGCTCTTGCTTGTTAAATGAATGCCTACATCTTCATATTATTCAAATATACTTAAAGAGATTAGATGTTTTATCCATCTGAAGTATACAGTTTGAATTGATTTATAAGACAGAAACATAAAACAGAGACCATGAAAAAATAACCAAATGCCTATTCTGTGTAACACTACTGAGACAAACACTCTACACCATACACAGCAACATCTATCTACTGATCCAACGAGGCTATTTAACCATACTTTCAACAAATGGTTTCCACAAGTAACTCCGTAGAGCATATAGACACAGTTTTTAAAAATCAAATCTGCTGCTCCTCCATTGGTGGTTCAAGAGCTTCCATTAGCTTTTTGTTTGCTTCTTCATTATGCCGACTTTGACAATGAGTTAAATGTTTCTTAAAGCCTCTTGGGAAATTTGATTCAAAATTACAACGTGGACATTTAAGTAAACTTTGCCCATGGGCTGCTACATGATTTTTAAGGAGAGATTCCAAAAGAAAAGCCTTTCCACAAATTGTGCATTTGTAAGGGCTATGGACATTATGCTTATTAACCAAATGATGCAAAACAGCACCTTTTTTCATAGCACGACAGCAACAAATTTTGCAATAATATTTTCCTTTTCCACGCTTCATATATTTTGCAATCTCTTCTTCAGAGATAAAAGCCTCTTTTTCTTCGGTAAATTGTAATACATTTTTGGACTGCTCTGAACTAGTCATATCCATTTTGTTCTCTTTACTAAAATCAATAGATTCAACATCAACCTGCTCTTGATCACTGCTTGATTCTTGGCCCTTACTATCTATTGCTTCCAAATCTGTTTTTATATACTCATTACTACTAAGCTCAGCATCAGAATTCTCTTGGTTGTCTTTCTTGAGCTTCTTTGAGGCAGGAAATAAAGTGTCTTCTAAGAGTTTCTTAGGTGTAGCTAGTAGTTCTTCCTGAACCAAAATATCACACTTTTGATCATCTATGGCATCTGTCTGTAGTTCATCACCCAATTCAACTGCCTTCTGAGATTCTGAGAATATAGCAGATTTGGAAAGTTCAGGGAAAAGGGCATGTTTCCGGGGCTCTGGAAAAAGAGCTCGTTTTCGTGGTTCAGGAGAAGCAGGAGGCGCTGTTTTGGGAGGCTCAGAAAACAAGGCAGGCTTTCTAGGCTCAGTATCAATAGAGAGAACAGGCTTCCAGATATCGGAGGATGCTTTAGGGGACTCAGATGACCCAGAAGGTTTCCGGGCCTCAGGGAAGACAGGTTTCTGAGGTTCAATAAAAAAGGAAGACTTCCAGAGATCAGGGGAACCACCACGGGAACTTTTCTGGAACTCAGGAAAATCAAGTGAAGCAGGAGGAGTCTTCCGCTGATCAGGAGAAAGCTTCCAAAGCTCTGGAGATCCTGAGGGCTTTCGGAGCTCTGGAGATCCCGCCGGGCTACGAATGTCTGGGGACAATGGTGGGCCTGGTTTGCGAAGCTCAGGAGACAAGGGAGGTCCTGCTTTACGGAGCTCAGGAGACACAGGGGGAACTGTCTTCCAATGTTCAGGTGACAAGGTGGGAGTTGTCTTTCGCAGTTCTGGTGGGCCAGACTTCCACGACTCAGGAGACGCAGGGGGAGATTTCCAGGAACCAGGTGAGACTGATGAAGACTTCCAGGATGCAGGGGACACAGATGGAGTTGGTTTCCAAGGTCCAGGTGATATAGAAGGAATTGGTTTCCAAGGTCCAGGAGACACAGATGGAGCAGGTTTAGCTGGCTTCCAGGGTCCTGATGCTGAAGGACTGGATTTCCAAGACCTAGGGGACCCAGGTGGCCCTGGCTTCCAAGAACCTGGTGACACAGATGGGGCTGGTCTCCTAGGTTCCGGAGAGACAGCAGGGAATGGCTTCCAAGGTTCAGGAGAATCTGATGGGGATGGCTTCCTTGGCTCAGGAGAGATTGTCCGTGCTGGCTTCCGAGACTCTGGAGATGCAGTTGGGGATGGCCCCCAAGGTTCAGGGGAAGCAGCTAGAACTGGTGACTCTGGAGAGGAGGCTGAAGGTGGCCCTAATGTTTCTGGGAAATGGGAGTGTTTCTGAGGTTTAGGATTAATAAGAGTAGTCTTTACTGGCTCAGGAGATACAGGAGCAAGTTTCTGTGGTTCTGGAGAAGGAACTGGGACTGGTTTCTGAGATTCAGAAACAACAGGGACTGGTTTTGGAAGTTCAGGAGAAGAAATAGGGGTAGTTTTTGGTGGCTCAGGAGAAGAAAGAGAAGGTATCTGTGGCTCAGGAGAAACAACAGGGCCAGGCTTCTGAGGTTCCAGGGAAGTAAGAGAAGTAGGTTTGGGTGATTCTGGAGACAAAACTGGACCAAGTTTCTCTGTTTCTATGGAAAGGGCAGGAACAGGTTTCTGGAGTTCTGCATTAGAGGGCATTTTCTGGTGTTCGGAAATAGGAGGGCTTTTCACAGAATCTGTTTCTTTGTTTAACTGATTTTTGGGTTTTTCATTCCATTTTTCTGGGGCTGCATGTTTGGATGTGATATGATAGTATACATTAGAGTACATCTTGCTCGTAAAGAAGCATTTATGGCAATGAAACAGCTTTGCACTTTTCTGGTAAAATATCATTTTACCTAACCCACCAGCATCCATTTCATCACAAAATTCTGGATGGATGGTGCCCATGTGGATTTGTACGTTTTCATAATCCGTGCCTCTGAAACTGCAGTGGTCACACTCCAAACGTACTGATGGTTTACGAAGTTCCGGAAATACTTCCATTTTTCTTTCTGTTACAACACACACAATTATATTCTTTAAAAATTTTTCAACAGTGCTGCAATAAAGTAGAAATAAATTATTTTCAGCAAACATAATCACAAATGAAATGCTAATCTAGCCCATTCTGAAACTGTAGAATTTTAAGCTTAGAATGCCATGTACATTTATTCAATAATATCTCTATAGAGGATTTTGAAGAGAAAGAATGGAACTAATTTTTAACTGAGTCCCAGGAACTCTGCTAGGTTTACATACATCATTCTACTCAATCCTCCTAATAATATGACAGGTACTATTTTTTTCATTTAGACCTGAAAAACTTGATATTCAGAGAAGTGACTTGACCAGGTTATGAAACTATCAGTGACCCAAGCACAACTCCAGAATTATCTGTTGCATGTGCTTTCCACCTCGACTCTAAAACCCCAAATATCAATAAGTTGTCTGTGCATAAAGCTAAATAAATATAAAAATTCAAGCTAGGCTATTTGAGGCTGAGCAAGAAACTTTAAATCCATTTCAGAAAACACTTGTTAAATTAAGTCTAACTATGATAACTCTTTTCATAGATTTTTTTAAAAATTTCTTTATTTTCTCCTGGCCAGTTTAGCTCAGAGTTTAGAGCACTGGCCGATGGACCAATGAGTCATGGGT